AAGATCAAGACATATAGAGATTGGCATAAGAAATTAGGTTTTGCTTTGCATACCTATGAACATTAGTAAGCACTTTTATTGGGGTAACCTATTTCTTTGATTTATGGAATAAAGGCTATATTGTCAGTAAAAGTAAAAATTTTATCTTTGAGAGTATTAAGGGAATTGGGATTAGAAAAAGCTAAATAGATTCAAGAGCACTAAGAGCAACGAAGCTTTATTGAAGAGAAGAGGATGATAGTGCTATGTCATGGTCAATTATATCAAAAAAGGATGATAAGAGCTCATGACAAGAAAGTTTAACCTCATTAATTTCGAGAATGAGAGTTGGTGTTAAAAAAAATTCCCCCAAATTAGCATGATAATAAAAAAAATGGACCTCGAATTAGGAGACATCATATGTTGTAAAAAGGATTTTTTTTTTGTAGAGCATTAATCTTAACAGATATGGATGGAGATGATTTTCCCAATTTCATAAATTTTGATACTGTGAAGAAGTATTTTGCTTAAAAAAAAGAACAACAAAAAAGAGAGATCAAATCAAAAACTCAAAAGGATAGTCTGAACCAAAAGAGAGTTTATCCAAGTTGAAAACCTGTAAAAATGACTTGGATAAAAAGAGTACAACATCATTTAGGAAGAGCTTTGAAGTGTTGAGGGTATTATATGGTTGTATTTTTTTAAAAAAATCCAAGATATGTTGTCATGATTATCTAATTATTGGCATTGTTATCCCAAATAGCCATCTTTATATGCCTTTACCTTGTCCAATTGCAAAAGTTTATCCCAAATAGCCATCATTTGTAATCTAACTTTTTTTCCAAGTAAAAGATATTCATTTCATTCTATTATCTATATCCTATTTTCAATCCTTACTTTTTCTTTTCTATTTAAATGCTTTGCAATAAATAGAAGAAATGTATGATTTGCATCTTATATATCTTGAAATTGGGATAATGATTTATAATTGAATAGTATCATGAGAGATTGTATATTGCTTTGGGAAAGTTGAAAGAAACAATGGCAAAAGATGAAACCTTCAAAACCTGGTAAGAACATTGATTCTGAAAGAAAAGAAGAAAATCCCCTTAAAGAGAAAGGTGAGTGCCCATTTTGAATAATGAAGAAAGGAGTTGATTTTGTTTGGAATGAAAAAAAAAAAAGGAATCTTGAAAACCTTATTACCACAATTGAAATTTCATGGCATCTACTTTACATACTATGTGTTAGCATTGGCATAATTTGGCATTTGCATCTTGGTTGGGGCATGCATTTGCACTTGGTAGCAAATATTTGAATAATCTGTATTATTGTTTAAGATATATATTTGCATCATTTAGTGAAAATATAGATTTGTTACATTTGCATCATTTGCATTATCTTCTATCACATAAAAATTTTTTACTTTGGTGAAAAAATTTTCAACTTGTGATTCCTTGGATGAGGAGAATATTTTTTGAATTGTAAGGCATTTATTTTAGAGGAGTTTTTTTTTTAAGACCTTCGAATATTATCTATAAGACCTCTAAGCATGATTATTATTTTTAACATCATTTGATTTCATATTTTGATTTAGACTCAGATCTAGTCATTTTTAACCTTGGCCCTATTCAGGTCATTTTATTTTCTAACTTGTGGTTCAATTCTAGTTAGTCATTTTCAACCTCGGCTTAGTCCTGGTCATTTAATTTTTTGACTTATGGTTCAATCTAAGTCAATCATTTTTTACCTCAACTTAGTTCGGGTCATTTATTTTTCTAACTTACGGTTCAATCTCAATTAGTCATTTTTTACCTCAACTCATTCTGTGTCGTTTATTTTTTTAACTTGTGGTTCAGTGCTAGTCACTCATTTTGGACTTTAGCTTAGTCCAAGTCATTTATTTTTCTAACTTGCAATTCAATCTTGGCCACTCATTTTTTATATTGACTTAGTTCAGGTCATTTAAATTTTTGACTTACAACTTAATCTTGAACACCTTCATCTTTATCTTGGTATAGCTTGAATACCTTCATTTTCAACTTTGGCTCAGTTTGATTATTTTCATCTTCAAATCTGGCTCTGTCCAAGTCATTTAACTTTTGAGTTTCGACTTGATCCAAGTAATTTTTGAACTCGAACGTAATGGATGTCTATATCTTTGTATCATTTCTGTTTCACAAGATGTGCAAAGAGGAACAGCTATAGACACTTCATTTCGTCTAGGGCTTGCATTTGAATTCTCAATTTTGATTTTTTCAAGATCGTTAGGCTTTCAAAGTGTTTATCCAATTTTCAAATTGGCTTTGAATAATTGGGCTTTGAATTGATTTTAAGCCCAGCATATGGTTTTCGGCTTTTAGGCTTGGAGCCTATCACATAAGTTCATCTTTTGGTATTACTGTCGAAATAAAACTTAAATGAAAAATTAAATAAAAAAAATGAAAGGCAATCAAGGGATTTTAATTTGATATGAGGAATTCAATCCCAAAAATTCAGGAATCAAGTCGTGGAACATGGAAATATCAATCAAAAGAATAAATTAAGTAATAAATGGAATTAAATTTGTTTGAGACAGATTTAATCTTTGTTATTGAAAAAGAAATCCCTAAAATTTTTGTAAAAACCTATATAAATCGTGCTTAAACCCACACAAAAAGACAGGGAGAGAATAGGTAAAAATTGCTAAAGCGAAATTTAGGTGTTGAAGAATTTCTGGGTTTTTGGGATTTTAATCTTGGAATTTTGATTTTAGGAATTAGTTTTTAGTTTTGAATTCTGTTTGTGGCTTGAAATTTTTAGTTAATTTCTAATATCATTCTTTAGATTGATGCTGTGAAAGTGTTATAATCTTATTAAAAATATACTTAAGTTAATATTGAGATTTCTCTTTAATTTGTAATCATACTTTCAAATCTAAAATTTGATTTTATGAACCAAACTCTACTATTTAAATATATCTAAATTAATATTGAGATTTCTCTTTAAATAATATAAATTTAATTAGGTAACCAATTGCACTTAGACAAAAAATATTTGTGACAAACTTTAAAATTATATCTAATAATAAATCCATAAATATATATATTATGACATCAACTAGCTTTTTACTACTTCAAAAGCTTTATAGATTGTACTCATCATACCTGATTTTAGAATTTGATCTTAATTTCCACTCAACATTACCATATTTCTCTTTCTTTTCCTTTTTTTTTTTTTCATGAACCACTAGAGAAATTAGATTTAACCTTCATATACATGTATGCACTACATTTATATAGCACATCATGTATAGAATCTGTAATCGAAATGCATATTCAGTAGTTGAGACTTCTTGAAAATTTTATGTTCCAATTAGCTTAAAAATTTTTTTGAAGGAATTAGCTTTAATTAATCATTCACGCCTCGCATACATATATATATATATATATGTACGTCATTTCGTTGATTGTTTTTTATTTTTTTTTAAGTAAAAGGACACAAAAACAATAAAAGTTATACCATCTTCACATAAAAGAGCAAAAGTGGACGAATGAAAAGGGCCGGCTAGGGCCATATTTTAGAGCACTTAGGGTGAGTTTGGACTTCAACGCACCAGGTGCAATTGTTCTCCAAAGTTGTGCCAATAGCAGATTTTGCACTTAAATATTCCTCCAGTGCATTTTAATAAAGTTCAATTGACCATTTTTGTGTTGATGACCTGCCAATGTTTTTATTTTTATTTTTTATTTATTTTTATCCTTCTAATTGTATTATTATATAAAAAATGTTCTTATAATTTATTTTTTTATTTTTAGTTTTTTAGAAAGTTGTGAAATAATTTTATTAATTTAGTATAATAAATAAATTTTATTATATAATACATTAATAAATAATTTAAATAAAATTTATTATTTATTAACAAATTTTATAAATATTAAATAATTTAATTTTTATATATAATTTTTAATTTAATATTTTAATAATTTTTTTCTTTTATTGTAATTTATCTCATTTTTACTGTTATTTTTACATTTAAATAAATATCTTACAATTAATTTTAATTTTATCACTATAATAATTAATTTTATATTTAATATTGTTTTTAATTTTACATATTACTATTTATTCAAATGAATAAATGATATTATATATATATATTCCGGGATAAAAATAATCCCCAAATGATTTTGATTGCTTCCCTAAATCATGTTGAATTGAACTATGGGAAAAAATACATTAAAATGATTAAGAAAACATTTCTTGTGGGATATCCATCGTCTAGATACAGCTCCTTTCGACAATTTTGAGAGGCAGGCGAGGGAGAGGGCTTTGAATCATTAAATTTAAAGGTTGACCCTTAAAATAATATTGAATTGACTAATAATATAGCCTCTTCTAGGGTCCACAGAATGCTTAGAAATCTGCACAAAACTTTCTGGACCTGCCTTCAAGTTATAAGTGGGTAACATGTGAAGTTATTCAGAGTTTCTGACAACTGCCTTGTGCCTGTAGTAGTGGATACGTATGTAACCTGGTGGTGACAGCTGCTAGAAGCTTCAAAAAAAAGAAAGCAGATTCTGATAATTTACACTTACAGCAAATCTTCTAGTTATACATTTGATTTGATGCCTTTAATCTTCTATTAAGGTTTGACTGAAATATTGTACACTATGCTGCCCACAAATGTTGCAAATTAATGAAGTTCCATCATATATTAATGTCGTTGCCGGCCAATCAACATGCCTATTTTTGGAACTTCATCAATGCCCAAGCAAATTTAGGACTACTATAAAAAGAAAGAGATCCTTCTTGTTCACTCCTCAACAGCCAAGACCCTTTAAAGTTGAAGCAAATCGAACCAAGCACACAGTGTTTCTCCTAACTAGGACCTGATCTTTCATTTTGCTCTCACACACACACACACACACACATATATATATATATACATATAATTATAAACAACATATTCATTATGGATGAATATGAGGAGCAGATCAAGCTCCAAGCTGTTGGCAAATACCACAGATCATACCACTTCCTTAAAAATACTTTGCAGCTTGTTGTATCAGTTGCCTTATTGTCGATTTTCCTTTGCCACTCTTCAGGCTTCTCCTTGTTTCCCCATTCCTTCAATGTTTACTTCTCCACCTTCCTTTTCTCACTCTTCACCCACACCCTTGAGAGGAAGTACATGTTCCTCATCTGCAATGGAATCCTAACATTTCTAGTCAAGAGCTCGGTGTCTACCGGCTCTTCACCGTCAGAGTCTGATCTTGGCTCCCAGATATCGATATCGTCGACAAACTTAATCCACAGGAAAGCTTCAGTTACCGATGAGGTCGATGGTGATCATTATGATCATGTATGTACCTCTAGGAGCTGAAGAAGAAGAACCGGAATACAGAAATGAAGTTGAAGAGCAAGGAGAACAGGACTTTAGGTAGAGAAGAAGAAGAAGAAGAAGAAGAAGAAGAAGAAGAAGAGGAAGAAGAAAGGGAAAGCGAAGTTGCTGTGATTGTAGAAGATGACGGAGGAGAAAGTGGGTGTTTTGTGAAGCAAGAAGAGCAACAAGAAGGTGTAGAAGCAGAAGTTGGAGCAAATGAAGAGGTAACAAGCACAGAAGACTTAAACAGAAAATTCGAAGAATTTATAAGGAAAATGAAGGAAGAAATCAGGATTGAAGCTCAACAACAACATCTGATTGCAGTGTAGTTAATATATATTTGAAGAAAAAAAAGATTATCTGCTACTGTGCTTTGGCCTCTTTGAGCTGGCCAAAAGCTCTCAGCCTCTTATGTTATATGTAGTTACTTAAATATTTCTAGGCTTTTGGTGCCCTTCCGATCCATGTAGTTTTTCTCTTTAATGTTACTTTGCCATGGTTTCAGTTTCTCTTTGTTCTTTTTACTTGAAATTATAGTAAGACAACCTAAAGCTTATCTCGGTTGAATTGCATAATATTTTTAAAAGATGATTATCTAACGAAACTGAAATTCGAATTATAATACTTACAATTTTTTATTTTATTTTCATGCTACCTCCTCTTATGTATAAAAAAAATTTTGCACTAAGACTGCAATTTGGTCTGAACAAGGGATCAAAAAAACTAAGAGAAGAATGTGAAACAGAAGATATCTTCAGGTCCAGTCCCATACGTTGTGCTTTGAAAGAATGGAATTGTGGTTAAATATTGCAGAGGTTAGCGGAAAAGGCTAGAATGGAGTAGCCAGCCCAGGATATATACTTAGCTTATGTATAAAAACCCAACACTTAGGTCATACTAATAAGTTTGTTTATTTAATACTCTAGCTATATAGTCACAGATTTGATATTCCAAAATATAAGATATTAATAAGATGCTGCTGATCATGCAAAAGCTAACTCTCGTCCAATCCAAGATATATATTTTCAGATTGAATATCATTATGTACTAATCAATTCATTACTTTAATTCCACCAATTCTGGCAAAGTATTATACATTATATAATTAGTATAAGCTCAATCTCATCTTTTGAAATCAGTCTCCTAGATAGATATAAATCATCTCTCTCCTGTTCAACTACCTCCAAAGAAATTAAGAAACCATTTCACTCAGTCGGTCTCATAAATATCAATAGAGAACTGATTGGCCACTTAAAAACCTAGTTGAAGTGGCGAATACGGTGTGTAAAAACTTCAAATTTGGATATTTTCTGCTCCTCTTTTACATTCTGCAGTGAAAATAATAGCTGTTGTAAACGATAAAGTGATGAAATCTTCACCGGCTATTTCTCTTGATGAAAAGTTTTTGGTGGCAATAGCAGCTGCGCCTGCCTGGCAAGTCTCCTTTGAGTCATATGTCCGCGAACAACCTTTCCGGGAGACAAGCCCTCCAATATCTTCAGGCAACGCAGGCAGAGGACACAAAACAGTAGTAAAGAAATAAATGAAACGTGATGAGATGAGATATTAATGAGACTTTAATTACCACATGATTTGGTAAGACCCACAAAAGATTTCACTGAAATTTCAATGAAATTGACTAAAAGAAATCTTAGATCCAATTCTTACGAAAAATTCAAAAACATAAAGGAAAAACAATTGGTTTTCTTTAATCGGTAGCATATCATGATTTCATTATAAAGACCGAAAAATAACACCAAATGAAGCTGACACAACTTTCCACGTGTCCATTTCTTGCTGCGGAGCATGCCTGCCACAAGTTGATACTCATAATAATGGGTTTCAAAGAAAAGAGACTGTAGATGATCCGATTCCCAGGTGAGGTGAGCCATATATTGGTCATACCCGCATAAACACAAAGCTTGTACGGCCATCACAAGATTTCAGGCTAATACTAGAAGAAAATTAATATTTAATTAAATGCATTTATAAACATAAAAGCACTAGCTAGCAGCCCATGTACACCAAAAATATCAAGAGCAGGAAGTTTTTGAGTTTATTGAGTTGATATACATCACATGTGAGAACAAAAGATAATTAAATCATATACTCTTCTAGTTTGATAGATGATAACGATCAGTTTTGCCCATTTGTCATGGACCACTTTGTACAGTTACCCAAAAAAAACAAAAAACTCCCTTCGATGGGGTTCCGACACTCATGTGGCTGGAAATACATGCACCTTTCATTTTCATTCCATTAGTGTTATTTACGAGCAATAAATATCGTGGACAATGTCAGCAGTTAGCAGAGGGACCCTTGTGCCTCCAGATCAAATTGAATTAATCATCTCAAATTCATACCTGCAAAGGCAGACCAGCTATGGAGGGAGGGAGGTAGATGTTCAGAAGGATCCCACAGTGGCATCATTGCAACTACAGCAAACTTATTTCATTTGTCCGCAAGTGGAGACAAAAAAAGTGAGTCCAAATAATTATCAATAATTCCAGTATGGAACAGTTTAACAATCAAACCAACCAGCTTTTTTTCTCGCAAAAGAATGCATAATTTCCTATAGTACCAAAATCAGTACAATTTTGCCATACCTAGCCTGTTCATCTCCACGGAAGGCATGTGATGTGGGTCTAGATAATGCAAAATTGTAGGCTTCTCAATTGTGCAGATCCAAGAATATTATTCAGGTCAAGTCGAAAGCAAACCACTAGGAGAAATCAAAATATAAAGGTGGCATGACGATCCTGCCTTTCAATCATCACGCAGGGAGATTATCCTTGCAACTGGCTGCATTAGCAAAATTTCACGTCAAAGCAGTGCCAAGAGTAACTGCATAATTCACAGAGAAAACAACAAAATCATCCACCAGTGGGAAATAAGGAAATTTAAAGAAAAAAAAAAGATTAAACAAAAGACTGAGAACTCTCACGTTGTGTACATTTGTCAATATTCTCCTGAAGCCGCCTAGGATGAAAACAGTGACAAGATTGTATAGAACATTATAACCCAACTTCCAACGGCTTTATCACTTAGAAATGCATGGGAAGATTAGTATCCCCATCTGTGGTCCTGCAACATATTCAACCAGGAAACATAAATACATTTTGTATCCCACTAAGAATAGAGCCTAGAAAGGAAGAAAATGCCTCATCCAGTAAGATGGCATAGCTAAGCAAACTTCAATCCAGCATGATCTTGACACCAACAAATCTCTATATACTATGCATATTAATCTTCATTTATATAGTGGAATCCTATCACCTGGATTTAAAGCTCCAGGATGCAAACGGAAAACAGTAATTTATTAAACATTTCTGGTATGGATTTATTATGATATCCTTGGAGTTAAGAACCACCATTGCATTCCTAGCTCACAATGCACATCGCCACAATTGTTACTAGGATCTTACATCTCGCAGTTTGGCAAGCCAATTTAAAGGTCACAGGATTCTAGACTGATCTTCAATTGCTCAACAAATGAAATCAACACTCAGTTAAGGCAGAATAAAGGGGAGGAAGGAAAAGAAAAATCTTATTACTACTTTCAGAAACGTAGAAATAATACATCTTCCAATTGATTCAGAATGATCTGAATGCATATTCAACTATCATCCTTACAAATCTTATTGTTTTGTCACCAATATAACATAACTGATAAAAAAAGCAAATAAGACAAATGAAAAGACAGCAGCAGAGTATGTTCGATACATTACTTTGCTTTATTGTTTTCATGATGGATGGCGAGAGCTGAAGAAAACACTAACCCACATTGCAGGCTACCTTATGTAAATTCACATCCTTGTTTGCCAATCTACATTCTTTGCAATGTCCTTCATGAAGGAAATTATGATGATTTGTCAATAGCCAGCCAACAATATATTCTCCAGCATCTATTTCTGATTATCATTCATTCTCAAAATAGAAAATTCCCACTTGCGTATAGAAATTGAATGCACACCGACAGTGACAAGATCAGCTTGATGGTACAGTTTCTTTTAATTGGTTATCACTTTCGTTAATGAAGTATCCAGTGTTTCCATTTACTCTGGAGAGCAGCTTGAACCACTCCACGATTAACCAGTAGGGGAAAGCGTAAATTCCATGGGAGCTCCATCACTCTCTGGCATATCTCGAACCTCATTGAGAAGTCTTGTGAGCTCCTTTGTCAGCTCTCTACGAATGTAATCAGAGCGCTCTTTTGTAATGGTTGATTCTGTAAATAGAGTTTCGGTTAAGGACTGGAATTCTTGAAACCATTCATCATCATTATCATGAACAGAATGATCATCATAAAACATCAGAGAGCTTTCTCTTCGCCATCTACTTAGAAAATATTTTTCAGGAAGTTGAAAGTAGTTCTTATCTATAAATACACGAAGAGCATGTCTGCATAATATCCCAGAAGATTCAAACTCCTTACATGAACAGTGAATCTGTTCATCTTCTGGAATCCATATAACAAGACTTTCCCCATCAATCTTTCTGAAATGACGTACAAGATATGATCCATTAGCCATTTCTGATGCAGCATGTGCAGCATACTGCATGCTCGCTATTAATTCATGTTGTAGAGCATTGAAGGCAAAGGGTGTAAGAATTTGCCGTGCATGCTCTTCAACAGGTAAGCATGTTTTCATATGCAAATACTGCACTTCTGGATGTCGCTGGTTTTGTAAATTGGCTGCAACACCAACCTGAAAAAGTTCCAATCAAATAAATAACAATCAACATATAAAATGGAAAAAACAGCTCAGTGATTACAAGAAAGCATTTGTAATTGACATACCTGCTCAAAAAATCGGCGTAAACATGACTGAGTAATGAAGATCCCTTTCAAGAATGCATCTACAGACTTTGAATAGGCTGCCGTCGCAATTCGAGCAAGAAAATAGCCTCTCACATATGATAGCGCCCAAGATGTACGAAGAGAGTAAAGTAAAGCAATGTGTTTATCTGACCCAAGTCCAAATATGGAAACCATTTGATTCCATCGTAGTTCAAAATCCTCAGTACTCTCCAGATGATATAATGCATCAAACTCGGATTTAAATTCTGAATACTGAGATCCGAGCTGAAGAGAGAACCAGCTAGATACCTTGGGAAGTATGCTCCATATAGACGTAACATGTTTAGCGGTTGGTAATTCACTTCTTATAGCATCTCTAAGCCCTGGATCAAGATCGGTTAAAATTGTCTGTGGACATCTCCCTTTCATGAAGCGGATAAGCATCTGCACCAAAAGGGAAAACGTAAAATTGTAAAGAAGAAGATACTCAAAACCCTACTTAATACACAGAGAATTATAGCAGTAAACCTGCAAAGCCCATGCAAAGGAGCGCAGTGTTTCATCCAGCAATAAAACACAACCAAAGAAAATCGGTCGGCCATTGTTGTCAATTCCAATCCATGCCCCAAAAAGCATATCATATGTAATTGATCTATAAGTGGTGTCAAAATAAATGACATCACCAAATATGGCATATGAATTAACAGCATCACCATACGACCAAGCAATGTTCTCAACCTTATCATTCTGATCTACTGTAAAATCATAAACAAAGTCTTGATCTGCCTCTTTTGTTGCCTTACATGCCTCAAGAAGTTCCATTGTATCATTTTCTCTTTTCTCATTGAGCAAAGCATCATTTTCTTGAACCACTTTCTTCCGGTTTTGAACAAAATTCCTAACATCTCTCTCCAAAAAAGGCAATTGACCACCTTGAATGCCCTTTTCCAACTCCAAAACCTTCACTATACGATGTATGGGAAACCCAGCTTTTGAAAGTAGTAAAATTCTCTCCTGATCTGCCTCATGAATCTTCCTATATGCAGGCAAGAGACGAACTTGGTCATCTTCTAAAAGTTCATGATTATGAACATTGCTAAATTGTACAACAAACCATTGAGAAACTCCATCTATTACCTCCTTTGACAAATACATCTTTGCATCACATCCACACCGTACAGATTTCCTATCCCTATGGTGTTCCCCAGAAGGCTTTTTCCTCACAGGTGCAAACCCAGAACGATAGCAAACAAAATCACGCTTATAAATACCCAATTGGGGGCTCAATCTAGACCTCTCTTTTCTAATTGAAAACCCATTTTTCCTAGCAAAATTCCCATAATACTCGAAGGCATCCTCATCGGTCTTAAACACCATTCCAACATAAGGAGCAACCATGGATTCGGACTGAGATGATTCAGCTTTTACCATCTGGGATGTTATTGATGTTTCAGCATCGCCTTCATATGTTACATAACATTTCCAGTCCCCACATGGACATTGCTGCCTCCTTATCCACATGTTTTTTGATGGTATGGAAGTCATTATATACAATGAATTTGAAATATATGCAAGTAGAATCAATGTCACTGCAATCCTAGACTCACCCAAAAGCTAACAGCTTAAACCCTTCAAGAAACAAGAGTTAAACAATAATTAAAACGGCTCATTCCAGATAACAATATACAAACAACTAATTCTGAAGCTACCCGCTTGAGCTAACGTATATATCTTATAAAATGGAAAATTTTCACAAGATTTCCGTTTCAAGTTACAGTGAAAGTGAGGAAAAAACAAGAGAAACCGCAAATATTAAAACGTCAACAAACTGTTGGTGAATAAATAGAAACTTACATAACAAAATGGTTAAGCAATGAAAACGAACGTAACACCGAAACAATAGAAAAGGGCTTCAACCCTCGTTCCTTTTCTCTTCTCCCTCTTCCCCAGCTGGTCGTCGAGTCTACTCCTTTTTCCTTTTCCCTCGTATATGAAAACTCCTCCAGATAACTGGAAAACATGGTTCTTGGGCCTACATTACACAGACATTGTTATTGGGCTTTATGGTCGGCCATTTATCAATGCTATTCAGAATGCCCAAAAATGGCTTCAGGCCCACAACCAACAGCCGTGAATTGCCAAACTTTGCTATATGGTACATACAGGGATGCTGCCGGCCCGCCTTGCAACAATTACGAGAGGGCAAAATTGACTTCTGCATTTATAACTCTTCAATTCAATCCTAGAGTTACTTATTTTATTATTATCAAATTAAAAGAAGGGAAAGAAAATATTAGGAAGAGTCGGATTTTTTTGTTTAAAATAATATTTTGAATTTCGGTGCATCATTAAGCAAATTTTATTATCAAAATATATAGATTCATTGACCTATTATTAGATATAAACTTTAGAAGTTACTATCGATTTTTTTTTATTTAGATATGATTGGTCATCTGATTGAATCTATTTTATTTAAAGAAAAATTATAAGATTGACTTAAATATCTTTAAATAATAAATTTTAATTCACAAAATTAAAGTTTAAGTTTGAGAATATGGTTATGTGTGAGAAAAATTATAATACCCTCAGAGCACTCATCCAAAAAATGATATTAATTTGATTTTAAGTCTCCAAGTCTTAAAATATATTTATAATTTACCAAATAAATTTAATGTTGAAATTTTTCCTTAAATTACTTTAATATGTTGGTAATAATTTAAAAATACTTTCTTATCTCAAAAGTATTCAAAAAACTATTTGTCACACTTTAAAAAAGCTCTGTTATCGGATTTATTTAATTTTACTTACAGAAGTAAATTTCTATAAATCAAGTTTATAGTCAAAAATATTTTCTAATATATTGATAAGATTTTTTGTCCAAAATTATCTTTTAATATGTTGATAGGATTTTATAGAAAAAAACAAGAAATATGATTTTATTATTTTATTTATTTATTTAAACGTGATTTTTTAAGAAATTATAAAAAAATATTATAAGGCTTTTCAAAATATTCATAAAACCCCATTTTGAAAAAGAAATATTGGCGTTTCAATCGATTGGTAAAACTTTTTATTTTTATTCTTTTATTTTTGAAATTAAAAACAAATTTATAAGGTTTTTCAATATGTTGTTAAAATCCTATTTTTTAAAATGATTGCTTTCCAATATGTTTGTAAGGGTTTTTTTTAAAATGTTTTTCTAAAAGTATATTAAAAATAATAAATAAATAAATAAAATAAACATAAAAAATACCTGCAATCGGCCTAGCTAGACAATTGAGAAGCACAACTCAACTCCAGGCACAGATCAGTTTAGGCAGCTTGGCACTTAATTGGGATCACAGCTCAGTTCAAGGCAGAAGGAGGTTGGGGTCAGGAATGAGTCATGCAAGTATCAAGTCACTCTTTAAAAAACACATCGATCCCTTAGGTAAGTTAAACAATGCATTTTGATGGCCATAAGAGTTAAATTTTTTCTTTTTTCCTTCAGATTTGAATTTTTCCCTCTCTCCCTAAAATTGATTTTTTTTATTCCTCTCTATAACTTCAACCAACCAAACTCATAAACCTAGAACACCGCGGAGTTTTTCAAAAAAAAGAAAAAATTTCATATTCCAATTGCCAGAATCTTCTATTATCAGCAAAAAAACCAAACAATTTTCCAAAAAATCCAAAAACGCTACCAAACCTTGAACCTCTGCTTAGAAATTCTCAAATAATCTTGAAAAAAACCAATTGAATGAAGAATCAAATACTAAAAAACCAAATTCAAAAACAAAAATCCAAAAAACCAAATCGATTAAAAAAACTTTTAATGCTAAGAACCTTTTTTTGTATCATCCCCTTGTTTGTGTTAGAACCCATCTATATACAAGGGCTCAACCCTTTAAATTTGGGCTAAAAATCAATTTAGCCTTGATATTCTGTGATTTGATTGTTGTTCAATTTCCTGTGACTTTCTTATTCCATGCAAATTAAGAACAAAAATCTCAAAAATCATTCTGCTATTATTACCAAATTCACGATTCTTGTAGGGGATTTTCGAGAATTTTTTTTATTATTTTCTTTCCTTTCCCTTTTTTGTGTTTATAAAATAAAACAAAACGATTAATAAACCCTATTACAGGGCTAAGGCCCGAGTACACATAAAAATAGGCCAAATCATCTATTGGGCTTGTAGCCCACACACAATCAAAACTGTCCATTGGGTATTAAAGCCTAAATACTAATTGCATAAATTCATTTAAAATCAAAAAATTCAATAAGCATTTCAAAGGCCTAATAATCCAAACAACTCTAACTCAAACGAGCTAAACATCTTGATCACTAGATTTAAAGCCCTGAGTGAAATGAGATGTCTACAATTGTCTCTCTTTGTATATTATTATGAAACAAAAATGATATAAAGATATAGACAACCATTACGTCTGATTTAACTTAAGCAATTTAAAAAAATCCTTTAAACAGGGGCATGCAATTTTTGAAAGATTTTTAAAGAACTCCTCTAAATAAAGGCATAAAGCTTACAAATTCCAAATAGCTCCTCTAAGCAGAGGTTCAATAAAATTAACTCTCTATACAAAGGCAAACAAATTAAGAAATAAAATTAGGCTCCTCTATATAAAGGCAAACAACTTTAAGAAATGGGTTTTTTTATACAGAAGCTAAACAACTTTAAATTAAGAAATGTGATCTTTTATACAGAGGCTAAACAATTTTAAATTAAAAAATTAGCTCCTCTATACAACAGCTAAATGACTTTAAATAAAATCTTCTAATCAAATGCTCAAAAAGTATGTTCCTCTAACCAGAGGTTCAAAGATTGTGAAAAGCTTTTTCTTTAAAGATTAAAAAAATCTTACCTCAAAAATTTTTCCTTTATTTAGAATTTGATATCTTTGCATTCGCATTCTCCATGTTGGACCTTGCGACATCCCTGCTCTAGATAAATGGAATGGATATCTTTATATGCAATGTATGTAGTGCAAATGATAATTAATTAATTTTTAATTATGGTACACAGATTCTCAAGACACTTTCTTTTTAATTCTAAATTCTTCAAGTTTGCAACAATAGGAACAAAATCAACTCCATTCTTCATTACTCAAAATGGGTGCTCATTTCCTTTTTAAGATAATTTTCTTTCCCTTTTTTTGAGAATCACTGTCTTATTAGGCTTTGAAGGTTTCATCTTTAGCCTTTATTTCTTTCAACCTCCCCAAAGTAATGTGCAATCTTCCATGATATTATTCAATTATCAATAACCAATTTCAAGACATATGAAATGCCAATCATACATTTCTTCTATTCATTGCAAAGCATTTAAAAGAGAAAAAGCAAGATTAAAAATGAGATATAGAAAATGAAATGAATATATTTATTTGAAAAAGAAGCTAGATTACAAATGATGGCTATTTGGGATAATTTTGTCAGTTGGATATGGTAAAGGTAAACAATGATAGCTATTAAACACTCAAATAATTATGACAACATATCTTAGATTCTTTCCAAAGACTTAACCATACCATACCTTTAACATTTCATAGCTTTTTAAAATATACTAGCTCTCATGTTCGTGCAACCTCCAAATGATGTTGTACTTTCCTTAAAATATACTAGCTCTCATGTTCGTGCAACCTCCAAATGATGTTGTACTTTCCTTATCCAAGTCATTTTTGTAGGTTTTCAACTTAAATAAACCTCTATTTAGTTCAAACACCCTTTTGGGTTTTAGATTTAAAGTCTCCCTTTTTTTTTTCTTTTTTTTTAAGCAAGGTATTTCTTCACAGCATCAAAATTTTATAGGATTCGAAAGATCATCTCCATATATCTCTATTAAGATTAATGCTCAACCTAAAAAAGACTTTTTACTATATATAGCCTTTCTTAATTCGAGGTCACTTTCCTCTGTTATCATGCTGACCCTAGAAAATTCTGCTTAACACTAACTCTCATTTTCGAAATCGATGAGGTCAAACTTTTTTATCATGAACTCTTATCATTCTTCTCTAATATAATTGGCCATGACATAAAGCTGCCAACCTTTTTTTCTTCAATGAAGTTTAGTTACTCATAACGGTCTTGAATCCATTCAATTTCCTTTAATCTCACTTCCCTTAAAATTTTTAAAGATAAAATTTTTACTTCTACTAGTAATACAGCCTCCATCGTATAAACTAAAAAAATAGTTGCCTTAGTAGAGGTGCGTACTGACGTCCAATAGGCATGAAAAGCAAAAGGTAATTTTTCATACCAATCTCTATATATCTCAGTCATTTTCTCTAAAATCGTTTTGATATTTTTATTCGTAGCTTTTACTACCCCATTCATCTTTGGACGGTATAGTGCCAAATTATGGTGCTTAAATTTGAACTAAGCATATATCTTTTTCATTATTTTATTATTTAAGTTCTTATCATTATCTGAGGTAATCCTCTTTGAAAGTCCATATTTGTAAATTATTTTCCTCTTGATAAACTTACAAACTACTGATCGTGTCATATTTGCATAAAAAGTAACCTCCATCCATTTTGTGAAGTAATCGATCATCACAAAAATGAATCTATTCCCATTTAATGCTTTTGGAGTAATGTAACCAATGACATCCATGCCTCACATAAAGAATGGCAAAGGTGGTGCCAAAACATGTAAAACAATAGGCGAAGCATGGATCTTGTCAATATAAATTTAACATTTATGATATTTTTAAGTATAATCAATGTTATCACTTTTCATTGTTAACCAGTAATACCCAGCTCCTATAATATGTCTTGCCATCATGTGTCCATTTGCATGTGCTTCACATATCTTATCATGCACATCCTTAATAATCGTCTTTATTTTAGCTACATTTACACATCGCAATAACACATGATTTCTACTTCTTTTGTAAAGGACATCACCATCAAGAAAGAAACCCATAGACAATTTGTTCATGACTCTTTTATCATTCTTTGTTACTTAATTTAGATATAACTGATTCCTTAAGTATTGCAGATGTTAAAAAACTAAGGTTTTCCATCTTCTTCCTCTTTCACTTTGGTGTAATGTATCGACATATCTTTGACATCTAACTTAATGGGTTGAATCTCAATGTTTATTATCAACCTGAATCATCACAGCCATAGTAGCCAAAGCATCTACAATCTGATTTTTTTCACAAGGTAAATGTTTGAATTGGACTTCTTCAAATTGTTTACATAACTTTGATATATACTTATGATATAGGATAAGCATCGAATCTCTTGTCTCTCATTCTCCTTCCAATGATAAATAACAAAAAATGAATCATCGAACACCTTTAATACTTTAATCTTTCTGTCCAAAGAAGCTTGTAAACCTATGGCACTGGCCTCATATTTTGTCACATTATTGGTGCAATTAAAGCTCAACCTTGTCGTAACAAGATAATAACATCCCTCGAAAGATATCAAAATTGCCCCAATTCCATATCCCAAGGCATTAACAGCCCAATCGAAATACATTTTCCATAACTTCTCACCTTCTTTCCTCTAACTTAAAAATGACATTAATTTTTCATCCGAAAAATCAAGTTTTATTGTCCATAGCTTTCAGTAGCATGATCTACAAGAAATTTTGCTATAGCACT